CAGCAGCAAGGCTCTCTCTGTCTCTCATCCATTTACATTTCTGAATAAGCACTGGTCCTTCTCTCTTCCTCTCTAGATTTTTCCCCTTCTCTATACCATATGGTGAGAGTCATTTCCATTAACATCTCCCAAGGGTATAAAGGTCAACCATTCAAGAGGGAAGACTTACTTATCTCTTTACACACCATATCCAGATCTCTGAGGAAAAGCTTCACTATCCCTTTTGGCTCATGAGCCCACTGCTGGTCCAGTCACCGAGGCCAGATTGTTCCTTGCTACTATCATGTTGATGGAAGGGGTTAACGGTAGAAAGGAAAGATTTCGTTTCTAGGAAAGGAGTTTTTACAGGTGGCCAGGAAAATTGCCAGCCTTCTCCAACTCTCTGTCCAGCACTCTCTTATGTTGGGCATGTGACTTGGGAGAGAACGCTCCCTTTACTGAGTCAGTTCTTGGTGATCAGGCTGCCATGGTTGTGACGCCATTGTAATCTCAGGCATCGAACCCTTCTGCAGTATTTATTTCAGCAGCACAGCAGCTGACATTGACACGATTCCTATAGGTTCTCAAAAGTGCTTATCTGGTCCATGTGCTTTATTTCTTCTCACCCCCATGAATTATAAAATCTCAGCACTTAGAAGTGAATTTAAAAAACAGAAAACACACACACACACACACACACACTTTAAAGATGAAAAAAAAAGCCCAGGTAGTTGAAGTGCTTGGGTAATACACACAGCAAATTAATAAATCAGGACCAGAAGCCAAGTCTTTGACTTGTAGACTAGTCTTCTTTTTCCTAAACTGAGTTGGATATTTCTCCATTGCTGGTCGGCACTCGTGATCCAATTCTTTCTCCACACAATGTAGTTGTTTCCATGTCTAGAGCTTGTACTTCAATAAAGAGCAACTTCCTTCCTCAAACTACCCTAAGTATAACTTTGCTGATTATATCCGACTTCAGAAAAAGCAGCTGCTGCACAAAATTGTATACTTCCCTTGCTTTTACCTTAGAGACAACAAAGTACACCTGAAAGGGATTTAAATTATAGATTGTAACCATTATCTTTGTTATCCATTTTTCTTTCATAAGTTCCTGGTTATTAGTACATATGGTAAGAAGTCATGTATCCCATTAATAGCAGGTTTGAAAGATATTTACAGGTGAGGACAGCAATAAAATGTAGAATCGTGGAGTTTGGATGACATCCTGAAACATTATAAATGAGCTTGTGACTTTGAGGTAATCCACCCTTGTTTGCTTCTGGAAAAAAATAATGACCACTTGTAGAGAGGCCTGATCGAAAATTATTTCATCTACCTTTTGGTGATTCTCCATATAAGCCTAAGTATTATGTATTTGGAAAAAATAAGAATTATTCTATATTTACAGCCTAATGTCAAATATTTCTAAGACTATGTCATGATTTACTGAGCTCCATAATTCTTTGTTTACATTTTATATACACTCTCTAAATATAATACATGTATATTTCCCTCCTCTCATATACAGTTATCTATTGTTTTGGGATTCTCAGAATAGTATTTCAATCTTTTAAAAGTCACCTCTTCTCCACTCTCATCCATGTGGTTCTATATAAGACAACTCCTAGCTTAAACCCAAGGTGGGAGGCAGGGGGGCATGTAACCAAGACATAGCCAGTTAGAGCACCGAAGTCACCTGGTCATGGCGATGGGCTCAGGAATAAACTTGTGACCCAACTGAAGGCAATGAGACTCAGTTTAAAACACATATTAGAATCATTGGATAGAATGCTGAAAAGATAAATTGTAAGATAAAGTTGGCGGCAACAGTCGGGAAGAGAAAGTCTTTCTGAGACTTGAGCCAATACAGAAGAAAGCCAAATTGAGATAAGTATAAGCCAAAGATGGATAGAGTAAAATGAAGTTCAGTTGATATTGTTTGAGCCCCTGAATCTAGCCACGCATGAAGTTTTTTTTTTTTTTAAGATAGTTTTAATTATTTTTATCTGTCACTTGCAGTGGGATGAATTCTTACTAATTCTATGTAAAAGCTTCTTTTACAATATATAATATAAGCATTCTTTGTTATATACATTCTTTAGAGCAGTCAAATTCATTGAAAAATATAATGGAAACAGTGCAAGATTCCAAAGAGGAGATGTCATATTTTCCAAAATGAAGGGAAAAGAATAGTAATTAATAATAATAGGTTGATATCAGAATTTGATTTTTTAAGAAGTAGACCATAGTAATCAAGCTGGGAGATAATCACACCTTAATGAAGGAGGAGAGGAAAGAATGCACGATATAGATGTTAGAAAAAACATCAGCATTTGGTAATAATAATGAAATTTACCCTGGGTTTTGTGCTTTTGGTGATAGGTGGTATGAGTCAGTGCTTTCGGAGATGACGACAGGGGTGGAGCAGCAATTGTGAAAAAATTGACTGTTCTATCTTTGCAGAGTTTCCTTTGATTTGGCACCAAGACAGCGAGTCTGAGAACTCTGGGAACCAGATCATAGATAGATAAATCCATTTGCATACCATGTGTGTAGAGAAGGTGGTTTAATGAGAGTAGGAGGCATTAGTCACATCTTAGCCTATAGAGATTAGAACAGAAGGCCCAGGCTGGCATGGTGAAGCTCATAGAAATTGTGAGAACTAGATAGAACTTGCCATGTGGAATTTTAAAATTTAGGGGAGGTAAACTGGAGAAAGATGTGCCTTTCTGTTTTACCCATTTTTGAGATAATATTATATATATAATATATGTAATATTCTAGTGCACGGCCTGTGTTTTTAAGAAGCCACCCACATTATTATATAAATTAAGAGAAACATCAGAATTCTTGAGTTCTACTTTAACGTGAATTTAGCCATTATAGCGGTCAACTTTTTTCGTAATTCTCTCCTTGTTTGTTTGTTGTTTTAAAAAATAATATGGCACTTGTGACAACATGGATGGACCTCAAGGGCATTATGCTAAGCGAAAAAGACAGAAAAAGACAAATACTGAAGAGTCTCACTTATATATGGAATCTAAGACAACACTCCCTCCCCCGAAAAAAAAATAATAATGTGGCAGATTAAAATCCTCAGCTATGTTTTCAATGCAAAATGTATCACATTGCAGTTCTTATCTTATAATGTACCTTATGGTGACTAGAGTTAACCATACTGTATTGTAAACTTGAAATTTGCTGAGAAGGTAGATATTACATGTTCTCCCCACACACACACAAGGAAAGAATGAATGAAAATGGTAAGTATGTGAGCTAATAGATATATTAATTAGCTTGATTGTGGTGATCATTTCAGAATACATACAAAAATCAAAACATCAAGTTATATACCTTAAATATCTACAATTCCTATTTGTTAATTATGCTTCAGTAAAGCTAAAAAAAAGATGCCATGTTTCTAAACTGGATTCATGGTTATTACTCTCATGGGAAAATCCTCCTTAAACAATTTAACATTAATGATAATTTAATAATATCTGATGATTAATAATTTATGGCATTGTCAAAGCCCTGATGTGATGGCTTCTGCTAAAAATATTTTACATTAATGCATCACCTTAGTATAATTTAATTAACTAAACATATATAAATGTTGATGTTCTTATATAGAGTATAAGAATCTATCATTTGAAATAAGAATAAACAGGTCATGATACTTAATTTTCCAGTAATTTTTCAGAAAATAAGCCATTATTCACTTATATGTATGGGTGAATTAATATATTGTGATAATTTTTAAAAGCATTACATTATATTACCAGAATATTTGCATTGGATTTTATGTGATTCAAGAAATAATTGCAAAGATTATATTAATAAAATGATTCTAATAGAATTTCTAAAGATATTTTCTTTACTTCATAGAGCCATGTGACAATTAGTTAACTAATCTCTGTTTTTCATAAAGTCTACAAGTATATTTAGGAATAAACATAAATTTGGACTTTTTAAAGAATACATGCACCAAAAAAGAAATGTCATGAGATAACTGATAGAATTGTTATACATGTGTTTTTATACTCAATGATTGCTAAGTAAAAATGTTCATTTATACAATATTTGTGCTTAAACCCACCTGCTTTTAAACTTTTGTAGCATTGTACACAATTCAAAAGTAACTTTTAAAAAGTCAATTCAAAAGGACCCAAAAAAAAAAAAAAAGCATACTTGCCTTTCTCTTCACTTCTAAAGGCAAATCTGGTTCTGTTCTTTCTCTAGGATGAGAGGGAAAATTGTTGGGACACAAATATCCAGAATAAAATCAGAAAATAAGATCTAGCCTTGATGATCTCCCCATCTGGAAAATTTACTACGGGTGATTCTTGATACCTGAGGGAAACAGGACCTACTTTTAAGGTGGGAAAAATAAGATTCCTTTTGTCAAACATTTTTGTCTCCCTCTATTTAACTTTCTGTTAGGATTCTCTATCATGCACTTTCAATATCCCCTTTAAAAAAATTCCCCAAAGTCTCATTTTATCCACAAAGCGCTCCCTAACAATGTCTGCCCTGCTAAGGCCTCAACTATTTTTAGATGATGGTCATAAAATGAGGAACAAAGTATAAATGACCGGAAGTGTTAACCACCATCTGTAAGACTAAAAAATACACTACTAGTTGGTATTGTAAGGGTCACAGCTATTCCTTGCCCTGTAGTTTTTATGCAGGTTCCACAGTTTATCTAAGTCTATTTTGAGCACCCAGACCTTGCTATATTCTCGTAAAGGAGCATTTTCCCCCTTTTATACTTCTAAAATTTATTTTACATTCTCAGGAGTTTGACTCACTATCTCTTATAAATTCCAATATTTATTACTATCTTAAAAGTACCCTAGAGGACATTTTGATTAAAGAATCTGACCATAAAATCATTTTTTATAATCTTCAAGATTTATATTTTTATAAAGACATATATATCATATATACACGCACATGTATATATATATATGTGTATATATATATGTGTGTATATATATGCCTTTATATATACCTATACTTTTCACT